TGTATTTTACTCAGCCTTTTTAAATATTGATAGCAAATATCTATTGTTTATTGTTTGTTCTTTACATCTCACTGGAATCAGAAAACTCAGATGATTATATGTATTTTAAGTAGGATACTATTTAATTCTACAATAATTGTAACTATAATTTACTAAATGCAAAACATTTTAAAACATAACTTGCTAGTAAATGATTAAAAAATTCTAAGATTATTATTTGTTAGATTTTTTCAAACATGTGACTTCATATTTCCTTGGTTAACTTACACAGTCAGGTTAGTATTCTTTGAGATTTTATTTGTATCTTGTAGCTTAAAGAAAGCACACAAAAGAAAGTTGGCTATTACATGCAGAGATTTTTGTTGTTGTTTCCATGTTCAGAGCAGTACTTCCAGCTAAAATAGCTGGTATTCCCCTGTTTTTCCTTGCTCACTAAGACTAAAGTCAGTTGTTTTAAGACTCCCTTTCTTCTGATCTTTAGAAAAAAAAATTGATATTTGTAGGACTTTGATTATAAATATCTTGGATCTGTTAAGAAGGTGCTTCTCCAAAACAAAGCATGGATTATGTCCTCACTTCACTCAGGTCTTTATTGCTTTACTAGAAAGACCTTTTCCTTTACCATAACTAAAATAGAAGCGAATTAGTGAAAATGGTACTAATAGCCTAACCTGTTTAATTTTTCTTCAAGTTTTCTCTACCAGAAACTAACACATATTTGTTACCTTGATATTATCTCTTCCACTAAAATACTTCGTGAGGGCAGGGAATTTGTTCATTGGTCTATTCCTAGAATTAGAACATTATTTGGCATATAATAACTGCCCAATGAAAATCTGTTGATTGACCAAACAAATATTATAAATAATGGCCTTAGAGTAGAATCTAACCTATACATGTTTTGTTTGAGTTTCTTTTTCTTTTATTCTTTAAGGAAGTTATTTGACATTTCAAAATGCCAAATAGTTTAGCTTTCCTAAAAAATAAAATCTTTTAAACTTGGATCTTTATTTTTGTATGGCAGCAGTTAACTAGACTAAACATTGGAGTGCTTCCTTATAAGGGACTTCAACTCTCCATATTTTCACAATCTTTACCTCTTTTTTTTGAATCTTAGACAGTGAGGCTTATGCTTTTTGCTGTTGATCACGGGAATCAGCAGCCTCTGTTGTAAGTCATAGTATTTACAGTCCTGTGCAGTTACATTCTTGAGACTTAAAACTTAATACTATAAAGTAAGTAAAGATAGGAGTTGTGACAGTTACTGAAGGAGATATATTTTGAACTTATGGCATGGAATTGAAATCCCTTTAAGCCAATAAAAACATGAGAAGATATACAGCATCATTCGGCCCTCCCTGGTAGTGCAGCGGGTTAAAGCGCAGCACTGTGAAGCTATCTACAGCCACTGCAGCATGAGTTTGATTCCCACCTCCTTAGGTGACCCACCCGGCATGACAGACCTCTCCTGACCTGCCTGCTGTTCCCCTGAGCAGTAATTTCAGTCAGTCTGCCAGTTCTGCTCCCCACTCTGTCTCTGGTGAATCCTTTCAACCCCTACACTTCTGGCCTGCATCCAGTTCTTGTATACCTAAATAAATAAATCTTAAAAAAAGAAAGAAAGAAATACCCACAAGTATGAACAGTAACTTGTGTTATTAAGGATGTAGAGGAATTGGAAGCCTCATATATTACATTAGGAACATTAAATGGTACAGTCACTCTAGAAACAGTCTGGCAGTTCTTCAAGAAGTCAGACATCGAATTACCACATGATATGGTAATTTTACTCCTAGTTATATAGCCAGGAGATATAAAAAGATCCAGGCAAAACTTTTATACAAATGGTGATAGCAGCATTGTTCATAATAGTACAAAATAACCCATATGTTTGTCAGATGATGAATGGGTAAATAAAATGTGGAATATCCTTACAGTGGAATATTATTCAGCAGTAAAAAGAAATGCTGATTCATCCTACAACATGAACCTTGAAAACATGCTGAGTAAAAGAAATCAGTCACAAAGATTTCATCTTGTATGACTCAGTTTTATGAAATGTCCAAAATAGGTTAAGTCTATAGAGGTAGAAAGATTAGTGGTTGCTTTGTCATAGGGTGGAGGATGAAGTTGACTGCTAATGAGTGTGGAGTTCCTTCTCAGAGAGAGTGAATGTTCTCAAATTGTGGTAGTTGATATTGCACAATCTATGAACTAAGTTGTACATTTCAGACATGTGATTTTTATGGTATATTAAATTTGATCCTAAGAAAATTATTGGTTAGAAAAAGAGCTTCTTTTACAAATAACCAAGAAACAAATGACCCAAAGATTGGTAAATTCTTCACAGCCCCAGTCTTAGCCAATGTGTAACTAAGTACAACCTCAGCAGTAGTCTTCAAAAGAAATAATCATTCTTTAAGTATATCTTCTGTTGAAACAGCTAACCTTGCACGATGTGATGCCTCATGCTGTAGTTAGCATGCCATCACAGTAGACCAACTCTTTGTCCTGCCTTATCAGCAATTGCTTTTGAGTACAATGGCATAAATTTGTTCAGTTTGAAAAGTGAGCATCTTAAGGCCCCACAAAAGTATTACAAGAATCTGTGAATGGCAACATATTTGATAAGCGGAGCTTTTGTAATGGGAAAAAGGAAAACCTAACCTGACATGTTGGAATTTTTTGCCTATCTACTAGATGATATGGATCAGAAGGATAATCTTTGGATGAAATTATATTACTTACCCTGTGATTGCAGAGGCTCCTGAGACTCTTTCAAATGCGCTATCTTATGTATACTCTTTTCCATTCTGTAATTTTAAGGGATTTCCCAGTCTTGTTAGCATTGAATATCAGAACTAAAAGGGGATTTTATAAGTTAATCTAGTTTAACTCTTGAATTTTGCAGATGTCTATTTTGCCAGTTATACTAAGTCACCTTAGTTTATCATTACTCCAGAGGTGAATGTAATGCAATACTAAAAGCAACACCAAAACGATAAGTTGGAAATGTAGTGGGAAATCTTTTTCATGGTAATTGCTAGTGAAACCTGAATTATAGAAACTCAGTGCATTTGTTTTGTTGCCCTTGGTTCATTCAGACTGAAATAAAAATGACCATGTTGAGTCTTCTTGACAATTTTCTTTAAGTTTATAAAAAAGTCATATCCCTATTCCAACTAATACTCAGTTATTTTTGATATTAATTGAAAATTTCTGAACACTTTAAAGGGAATATATCTGAGCAGGGAAATTTTAAAACAAAATGTTTTATGAGTATAAAGGTCAGAGGAGGCCCCTCACAATTGCAGTTGGCAGGGATAGAAAAGCTAAATACAGCAAGACACGAAAACAGCCATATGGATTAATATTTTGTTTTGTTGTTTAAAGATGAAATGTATTATGATTTAGAAATATTTGTAACTATGTATATCTGTCTGTTATTGGTTTCTGATTTAATTATCTGTGTTCAGCAAGCATTCTTAAGAGTTTAATATTTTAAAATGTACTGACTTATTTTACAGCATAGCTCGTATGGTCTCTCTTGTTGTTCCTTCTTTATTTTGAAAAGAAGAGATTTTTTCCATTTTGGGGTCTAGTATCCATTAGTTGTCAATCGATTCCAAATGGTTAATAGCATAATTTATGTCTTCTATACCCTTACATGTTTTGATTTACTTGTTCTATCATCGAGAGGAGAGTGTTGAAATCTTTATATATAATTATAAACTTACCTAGTTCTTTTTTCAGTTGTTTAGTATTGTTTCCTGTATTTCGTATATTCTTATTTATGAGTACGTTTCCCTAATATATTGATCTTGTTATTATGAAGTTTTCCTTTGTATTTTTTGTAGTACTCTTCTCAAGGCTTATTATGTCTAAAATTATTGCCTCTCCAACTTTTAAACTTACTAGTGCATGATATATACTTTTTACTTTCAGCTTATCTGTATATTTAGGTTCAAAATACATCTACTATAAACAGTATTTTAATAGCATTGGTTTTAAATATTATACTTTGCTATCTATTTTCTATTTATCCAG